CAATCAATCCCCCATGCACCATAATACCACATCCTCTCTAGGAGGGGCCTACAAAACGCGCCCCATGCCATAACAATTTAATGATAGTAAAATATATATAAAATCCGTGATGAAAAAATGAGAGCAGACGGAGGTGAACCCAGTAAAAAAATGAAATATTAACTAAAATCAAATTAAACATAACTTATGCTTGTAGGTCCCGTCCAACCCTTAAAAAGGAGAGACCGCCGTATTCTGCCCATGGGGCAAAATCAAGAAGCTCTCTCACTACGGGTGTGGGAAAAGGATAAAAAATAATACGAGCATGGGAAAATATAAAGCTGACCCAGTCGAGATGAAAAAGGGCGGGTCAAAACAAACGGGAGGCGTTGTCGACTTGAATCATAATCAAAGAGCCGGGAACAGGCCAGGAACAACACTTACTCACATCAACTAGGTACACTAAGGCTTGTCTAACCTAACCAAGGGGAGGGCCTCTCAGGAAATCACCCCGATGTGACGTACGTTGACCTAAAAGAGAAAATCAAGGCTAGCCCCGGTCAAACGAACCAAGCTCGCCTCTTTCACCCACCTTTCGCTGAAGACTGTTGAATGCAAGCGTTTTCTATCAGTTCTAATCTTCATCTTGAGATGATGCTCAAGGAATCGGATCAGATCTTGATGAGAAAGACGATTGCCTTGCAGGACATCCTTCGCGTCGTCAAAATCAACATTCGGGTCGTGGCCAGCATCGTAAGAAACACCATCTGTTTCACCCCAGAATACGGGGCGACACATTGTCACACGCGTATGCGCGATCAATGAGCACAAGTTTTTCGGGAGCGAGACGAGCCGTCACCTCGCCGGCATGATTCTATAAGGGGCGAACACCCGGACAATGGTAGAAGGCGTGCGAAACCGTTTCTTCCAGACCAAGGCCACACCGTTCACAGTCTGACAAATCCGCCAAACTCCATATGAAAATCTTGTCATTGAGAGGTAGCCGATTCCGAACCAATCGCCAGGTAAGCGAAAACTCAGAGTTACTGAGATAATCCACCGTTGGCGCCCAAGACCAGAAAGAGCGAAGCTCCTCCTCCGACAAGCCGAACTGCTCATGTAGGGAATCCTTCGCGACCCCTCCACTAGAAGACGATAAAAGACCTTCCTAGGCTGTGAAAGGTCACTGGACCAAGGAACAGCCAACAAGGCCAACCGACACTGGCTAGGGAAATCCGATTGATCCCGGGGTTTACGAAGGCACTCAACCCACGAGATGGGGGGAGATACATAATAAAGCGAGGGAACGGCTCTCTAACAATCCCCGCCATAATCGAATCTCCTCCTGTCAACGCGCAGCGTAGGAAAGCCAACCTCGAGGCGAGGTTGTGGCTCGCCAAGTGTGGCATTCCCAGCTCCCAATGACACGGACGTTGTGCACAGACTCGTCTGTCGACCCGATTCCCGCGTCCCCTCCATAAAATGGAGTATAGCGAGCGCTCGATCGGCTTCCTGTGGTCGTCACAGAGAGGAAGTACGGACAATCCATAAAGGACAATCGGGAAAATGTATGTAGCACACACCACCGCCCTGCCCTTCACGGACAACATCCCTCGACGCCAAATCTGACCGTCCGCGTCGACCTTTGCTCGTACTTCAGACTAATTTTTCTCCAGCTGGTGGTCGGGTCCAAACCACACTCCAGGAATGCGGACAGGATCGTCCGTCCAACCGAAGGGCTCTGGAAGATCGACCCCCTTCCAGGCACCTAACCGCAAGCCGGACGACGGTTAATCTTGGCCCCTGTCAGCTTTTCGTACCGATCAAGCGCCCTCAGTACCGCCCTAATGTCGAGACGACACGAAAGCAGATACGTCATCGACGTACGCAGAAACCCTGGCTTGAGCCCCTCCAGGAACGGCGATTCCGCGTAGGGCCCTGACCCTCAGCCGGGGAAGGACGGGCTCCAACGCCAAAGCATATCCGTATTATTTCTTTCTTATATTCATTTTCTCACAGAACCTAAATGACGTCTCTTATATGTGTTTTGTTTATCAAAACGGAATAGTTCTTTATTTATTAGGTATTGGTAGGAGACGTTATATATTTTTACCTCCCTTTCTTTCTTTCTTACTTTTATTTTCTCACTAAAATTAAGTAGTGTCTTTTCACCTCTCTCCACGCAATAAAAACGGAATAGTCCAGTATTTATGAGGTATTGGCAGGAGACGTTAAACATTTCAATCCCCCGTTCTTTCTTTCAAGTAGTGACTCTTCCATCTTTTCGTGCGATCAAAATGGAATAGTCCATTATTTATGAGTTATTGTTTTTTTAATGATTTTATTCAAGAAAAAAAAGCAGCTGGAGATGAAATTTGGAAAATAATATTTGAAATTTGGAGCCACCTGAAACTGGTGGCAGAGATAATGACAGAGAGAATAAAATACGGTGGCAGAAAAGAACGAGTAAAAGGAGGAACAATGTTCAGTAATGACCAGGTGGGAGAAGAAGGTTAGAAATACAATGAAGAAGAGAAAATAGGGTCGAAAAAGAAAGAAAAAAGAAAGAAAGAATATTGTGGAACAAAGGTAAAAAACCTGAAGAAAAAGAAACAAACAAACAAGACTAAATAAAAAATGAAAAGGTGACATACTGAGAAAAGAAAACGAGAGAAAAAACAACGATGCTCGAATCAGAAGTTATGACATCTTTTAAGAAAGAAAGAAAGAACATAAACATAGTAGAAAGAAAGAAAAAAGAACAGGAGAAAAAAGAAAGAAAGAAAAAAAGAAAGAATGATAGAAAAGAAAGAAAAATAATAGAAAGAAAGAAAAAGAAAGAAAGAAAGAAAGAAAGTAACAGGAAGATAAATAAAAAAATCTGATGTAACAACTGGAATTGTAGTTTTGCTATTGACAAAATGTCTCGACATGTGGCTCTATCGAAATAAATAGCGGTTCCCTTTCTCCAATTATTTTTCCGTTCTTCCATATGTAAAAAATATCCATCTCCTTCAGTTCTCTTCCAATTAAAAGTTTAGTAAAAAAAAAAAGCTGCGTGCTTGAAAAAAATCCCAAATCATCTGAGTTTGCCCACTTGTCATAAAGTGAAATATGCTTGAACATTTTCCGTTTACCGAAGAGGCCAAAAATCTGAATGATGTTATTAATCATGACAAAACATTCCTCCTCTACTTGATCCTACATGCTGATTATCTATGCTATAATAATAGCTAAAAGACAAAATTTTAGCGGTCATGTATCTTTATTATCCCTATATGAGATAATGAGAAATACTGATGTTATGGTAAAATTACTCGATAACAATAAGCGAGCATTCATTGGATTAACGAAATAACGGAAAATCCTAATAAAATCCAGCAAATATCATGCTGGAAATATTGCTTTGTATTTCTTGTGTTTCTCTGGTTAATTTTGACTTGTAATGATAAAAAGGATAACATTATTTCTTACAAGTGAGAATATATTTAATTCTAAAGTTAAAAACCCTAAGTTACGTATACAGTAAAAGTTAACCAATGGAAATTCAAAATTACTTCAATATAGACGTCACTTTTTGACAATGCAAGTCGTGTTAGTTTTATTTTGATATTTTTAATTTTAATGATTTAAAAAGTAGAATGTTTTCTTACATATGACAATAGAGCTAATTGTATTGATAAAAATCCCGCATTACTTGTAAAGAAAATAAAAGCAATGTCTTTGCCAAATTACTCCCATATTGTTGTCATTTTTTGACAGGGCCAGTAGCTTTTTGACATTATTTACATTGTTCGAACTATTGTCCTCATCTTTACTGTCATATTCGCAACGTTTAGGCCGTTGTATGCTCTGGCCTTCTTCAGGTGATGGGAATTTCGAACTGAACCATTTGTTCCATTTCCGCTTGCTATGCCGCATCTGGATTTCTTCGTTATCTCCCTTTAACTCAACTCTCCATGTTTTTGTTCCCCACTGCAGTGACCAGTTGCTGAATTCACAATTCTTTGGGTCAAATCACTGGATCCAACTAAAGCTTTTATCTACTGGACCATGTTGTTACATTTTACTGAAGAAGGCCAGAGCGTACAATGCTCTCAAGGTCGCGAATAAGACAATAAAGATGAGGACACCAGTCTAAACAATGTAAATAATTACAATACCTCATCTCAGAAATAGAGACATCGTGTAGCATTGTTTTGATATTTTTAATTTTAATGGTTTAAAACTTAGAATTAGTATTTAAATATGACAATAGAGGTAAATGTATCGATAAACATTCTAAATTATTAATGACGAAAATACAAGCAATACAAAATTACTTAAATATGGCTGTCATTTTTTTGAGTGGGGGAATCATTTTATAATTATTTTAATACTTTTCGTTTTAATGATTGAAAAAGCATAATTATTTAATACAAAAAGGACACTCACACTTAAAATCAGGAAGAAATATATTTGAAATGATATTTGAAATTCTTAATGTAGAAAGAAGTTGCGGAAAATTTGATACACACATGAAAGATTGAAGTCAAGATTGATTCTTTTTATACGGATTTTCAATCCTTCTCAGGTTATTTAAAGCCATAATGTAATAATTCTTTGGAGATAATAATGGTTTAATGATATAATTCTTATTAATTAACCGATAGCTGAACAAAAAAAAATCGTGGATTCGTACCTTTCCCAAGGGTATCTGGGCGTCATTGAATATAACGAACACAACTGGAATTGGAACTCGGCTCTCCGATTAACAGTTCTTAGCCATTATCCATTTCACCACCTACACACCCAAATTTACATCACCCGGTATTCCCAAGCAGTAAATTATCTAAATAGTGACTCGTCTTGACGTTGTTTAACTTCGCGACGGAACGGGAACCAATGTTTCAACCTGGTATGGTATGGTCTCTGACGCCGGGGACGGGTATATTAAAATATAAGGCGTTACTTTCAGAGTCAGTAATGAGGGAAGCGGTTTGGAGATATTGGCAATAATAATGTATTCTTTTTACTTGCAGTGATATATCCAACAATAAACTGCTGACGATCGGAGAAAATGTTTTTCATGGACTGATGAATTTACACACACTGTAAGTATAACCATGTTCCTCATAAGAAAGAATCATAAATGGTTAAAAAGTAATCCCGACAATGATTCCTGTAAGAAATTTAAATTTGATTAGAAATTGTAGTTGTTGCATAAAATCTTTTTGCTTTTGTTAATATTTTGAATTCTACGCACCAGAAGAAAAGCGATAATTCCACTAAGACGCAAGGTATAACTGAGATTGAATGAAAATGAAAAAAATGTGAGTTATCAGAAAAGACAATAAAAGAACAGAATTCAGAAAAAAAAAACAGAAGATGGTGATTTATACTAAATTTAATTTTTTTGAAAATCGTGGTTGACATGAAAACAAGAAGCCGGAAAACAGTTACACAAGCGAGAAAATACGATAAAAGAAACTATTAGAATAGAAGTTACGTTTACATCTAGATATTTCACTACTAAAACGTGAGACCTAATGGCCAATCTAGTATTGTGCTTATATTCATGAGGTCGCGGTACCAAATAGGATAGCTCAATAGAACAATTGCCACTAAAATATGTTTAGAAAAGACACAGGGGAAGCTACGCTACGACGATGGGAAAATGACTGAAACTGAGATGCCAGGTCAGGACCAATAACTTTACAAATCTTTCTTTGGATCTATCAAGAATCTAGATACATATACATTAGGAGCACCAAACGAAATGTGAAAACAATATTCAGTGTCTGGGCAAATAGCAGTTTTATAAACGTGATGATGGATTCTGACGAGGAGAGCTGTCTGACACAACACAATGAATCATTTTTCCTTGTAATTCATTCAATAGAATTGTTGCATTACATATCAGTAGGAAGCATGAGACCTGGAAGGCGCAAGGAGGTTGACATCAGTCATGTTACTAGAAGACAAATAATGGTTCTCTAAGATGATTAAAAGACAGTAGTGCTGTTCTGGGGTCGTTACAATTTACAAGCCATCTCTTGTACTGATTCAAGGCAATTTTTGCGATCATCAGCCGTGCATTAACTCATTATTGTTTATTAGGCATTACATTACGTCACTTAGCATCCGCCATAATTTAACTATATATTCAATTTCCTGATGAATATTTATGAGCGTTCTAAAATTCGAAACTTTTGAAAAAAATATTCACGTTTGTACTTTTGTTTATATAACTAAGTATTACATATTATATTACAAAATAAAATCCTTACATTTACCATTATAAAGTCCCACAGAAGACAATTTTTTTCCTTTTGTCTTCATTCTTATTGTTTTTTGCAAACACATTTTTAGTTATATCTGAAATTTTTCACCCATATATATATATATATATATATATATATAATTAATACAAATATAAAATTTGTGTCTAAGCTGATGGATTCAGCACACCGATTCAAGAGTTTATTGGACGGACCTTTTTGTAATAATTTGGTTCAGTGGTTGGGAGGTATCGCCATATATATATATATATATATATATATATATATATATATATATATATATATATATATATATATAAGCAAATATATGGATATAGATCCAACAGTATGAAGAAAAATATATACGGAAAAAACAAACAAAAATCCTTGTATACGATTTATACTTTTTAATGTTAATATGTCAACGTCGGACGTTTCGGTCTAATAAACAATCTTCAGGACATATTCATAAATTATAACATTATCAATACAACATGACAAAGACGATGTACATAAGAACAGGACTTATCCAAACAAGCGCTGATCTTATAAAACTTTTAGCTCTTTGTTTCAAGTTTCACGTGCATTCGATTTGTTAAGCAAACTTTAATTTAATTTATGGCGTTCCGTATTCAAGGATTCACTGTGTTATGGGTGTAAGGTTTCCATGTGACTATTTTAAACTGGATTAAGATGCCATTTGCTTAGACCGGCTATTTTTCCTTATTTGAATTTGAAAAGTTTAACACATCCGAGCACAAAACCACAAGAATAAACTCGAGAGTATTAATAATATCTTCGACAAAACTCCCTAAATATGATCTCATACATAGACACAATGAAAGTCTATGCTACATGCCAACTTATAGTGCAACTAAGGGTCATAACTTGAGGCTTATTTCAAAAGCTCTTTTTTCACTGGGAGCGATGCATTTTAATTAATACAAGAATACGATTTATTTGTTTTGCTTTTTTCTATATTTACTATATTTTATGTTTTTACAAAAACATTTTTATCAATAATATTGTTTAACTTCTAACTTTTTTATCAAAATTTCTGAACTATTTTTTTTTAATTAGCCTTCAGTTCTGGCTTTTAATAGTTCCGTGTGTAGACTTGTTGTATAAAATGCCATGCTTGATAACCAAGAATAGTCAGTTATAGCTTGTTATATTTAAGTTTTTTTTATTTTATTCTATTTATATTTTACTTTATCTTCAGGTACTCCGATGAGTATCGCTTTTGTTGTTTGGCAAAAAACGTGCCTGACTGTTACCCGAAACCGGATGAGTTTTCCTCGTGCGAAGATCTTATGTCCAATTATGTCCTGCGTGTCAGCATCTGGATACTCGGTCTGACAGCCTCGTTTGGAAATGTTATCGTCATCATCTGGCGGACGAAAGATAAAAGAAGTGGAAAGGTGAGAGCTTTTTCATTCGAATATCAGTGTTTAATGCATTGTTTCATTACTTACATGCACCCACCTGCACAATATGCACTTTCAATTAATACATTCGCCAATACGTTCTAGAAATTATGAACTGTAAATAACAATTTTAGTGTTATTTTATTATTATAAATATCCTGATGCTACACCAGTTATGGCTCGAATGGATTCTGATCTTAATTGCTAATATATACATGTTTTGTCTTGATGAATTAACATAGACTACAGTAAATACCTCGTTGAGTACCACAAACTTGCTTGTAAGTTGACTGACATTAAACAGCTGGGCATGTGCCCTTGGGACTGAAACACTGTGCATCCCTTTTCGTGAGCCGGATGTTGGGGTAACATTACGAGTGGGTATCAGGAGGGTTTTTTTAATGTTTGAAGGATGAGCCAGCAAAGTCGACCTGGGAAATACCCTTCTCTTTCATTGACAGAACCTTGACCTGTTAGACACCGGTAATATATGTACGGATCTACATACGCATACGCCGTTTTATAGTTTCTTAATGTCGCAATATCAAAATAACGAGAAGTAGGATTAAGAGGCAATTTTTGATATGTCTTGAATTCGGGGATTGATTGATTGACTTGTTTTTTACGACTTATCAACCTATTGCTGGTTATTTAAACCCAGAAAAAATATTTTTAAGAATTTTTAAAACACGTAAGCCGCGGCCGATACTGGGTCAAATTTGGTTTGCAGCATCCAGATAATATGACCACTGCCACACGCCGAGGACGATGCGTCAAACACAGGCTCAACCCTACGCTGGCAGTATCGGTCAACATGTTGGTCGCAGGCCGTTTCGATTCACACTAATCTGCCCACGCTTTGTTCTTCGACTTCAGAGCAGTGAAGATAGATTATCGTTGTTAATTCGGAGCACTTGTTTGAGCTACGGCGAATATGTATTATTAAAGATATAATAATGTTCTTGCAGACGAAATAAAAACGGAAGATTCGTCGGATTAGTTTTAAATTGGTTTATATAGTTCCTGGTACAAAAATCAACTCTTCGCTCTTAAATTTCTATAGTGACACTAAATCTTGGAATGGGAATCAAAGTCGGGAAATCTCCCGGCAACAGTTCAAGTGGGGTTTTGGTAGCAGATCGTCCGCTCTTCGCCGTCCCACACGTCTTTCTCTAACTCTATCTGAGTCGCCAAAGCAGTCTGCTTATATCGAGTCCAGCCAAAGGGGTTTCGGTAATTAACCAACTTACGGATTTAGTTGCAGGTATCGTCCAGCCTTTATGTCACACTTTTTCTTATACCTCGCACCACTAGTTCCAAATGATAAATTTCCTACTTTTTTCCTCTTCTCTTGTTATTCCATCTGATACCATCTCCACGAAGAGATTTTGACTGTTTCTTTGTCAATTCTGATTTTTAAACTGGATGAGCGAAGCGGCGGTCTTATTTTAATCATTGATTTTCCATAACAAATATTATTGGTCTTGTTTGATCTAGTCACCTTGAACCAGTCATCCCGCTTCTACAGCCCTTGGCTTATCATGCAGACAACCCTTACAGGTTGCTTCTCATTTCAATTTCTTTTTCGAGTGACAGATTAAGTCTGGTCTCCCGAGAGGGCCCTTTCACCTCTCAATAACTTTCATTTTTTTGACAGCCATTACTTAACTTTTCTTAATTCTGTTTTTACTTACCACGGTTGGTTAATAACTCGGAATACAGTTTATCGATTTTCTCCTGAACGTCGGTCTCACGATATTCTCTCTTCCACCCTCTCATATTCCTAGCTCACATATTTACATTAACCTCTTCAACACCACGAGTGTCACATAGTGCCACATTACTAAGTAATCCATAGCCTGAGGTCAGTGGATGTGAATTCATACCTTTTCCAATGTTATTTGCGCGAAAGTGAATGTAACGAGTTCGACAGGAATTGGAACGAGTTCCAATTCCAAGCCATTACACCACCCACACATTCAAACTTACAGCACAAGGTATGCCCAAGTGGTCACCCATCTAGGTACTGACAGTCTCGAAGTTGCTTAACTTGCGGTGTTTCAACGTGATGAAACAATTACTATGTCCTTAAAGGTTTAGTCGAAGAATGTAGTCTCTATTTTAAAACACCTTACGATTTTACATATTTATCGGTTTTGGTACGGTAATTTTCCAGTCATTTAACATATTTTGTGTTATATATATATATGTGAAAAACACCAGGGACATAAAGTCATATAAGGGAATATCCGCCGGAAATTGGAAACAGAGACTATACAGCCACCGACATTCCTTCTCCTGCGAAACCAAAACGCTCTATCGAAGCATTATTGGAAAATTAAAGGTAGTAACCTCACCCAATAATCAAATAGGAAATCATCTATCGGTTTAGAAACCCCAACAACTTCTTGGACAGAACGTGATCTGTGTTTACAGAAAAAAAGACTCAATTATCAAATACACAAATGCTAACCAATTATTAAGTCAACGAAGCGAACTTATCTTCAAGTTTAGAAACAAAAACAAATTTCAAATCCCCTAAAAACGCTTACCGTATTTGTTTTTGGGAGGATGACACGTGGAATGTTGATTCGTTGGTAGGGATAGTAGCACATATGGGTTCACATTCATGTGTAGGTATGTAGATTTGTACACGAGTGTGTGTATGCGTAAGTGCGTACGTGGTTTGGTATTGAATATCACACGGCCTTGTTGCTTTTTGTGGGTGCAAAAAAAGGCTAAAAATAATGGAAGCCTTATTAATAAAAACAACAAAAAAACATTTAATAATATTAACTATGAACATGGACACAATATCTTGACCGTGCTTTCAAAAAGTAAAACATTTTATAAAACATACATTCAACAAACTATTTCTTATTTAACAGTTAAAATATTTAATCCTTGAAAATGGCTAAATGTATAGCTAAAAGTGGTCTCATAAAAAGAAAATTCGGAGAGTTTTTATATAATTTATCATCTGAAAGGAAACAATTATTAGATCGCATGAGAAATTGTAGAAAAAGAAACTAAATAAAAGCTCCTTGTCTGTCGTATTCAATGAAATGTGCATGAAAGAAGGATTGCTGCTTAAATACACAAATATATATATATATATATATATATATATATATATATATATATATATATATATATATATATATATATATATATATAGCATCGTTGTTACTTTCCTATAAATACCTTCCTCTGTGGTACATAGACTTTATGAAATTAAGCGCAGAATTGGCGGCAAGGTCTCATCATTTTACAGTTGAATAACTAAATAGCTTGTGGAAGACTCTTCCAGCTTCTTTCTTTCAAGTCAATTTTGATTTTGTTGGTTGGCTGATATTTTTTAGTGGGATATCAACCTCTCTGTTTTATTTAATGCCGAAATCTGAATATCTAATAATTTTAGGGCTTCAACTAAATATATTTTGAACTCTTTGTACGCCTTGCAATAAAATGTATTGTTGGTCATTTTTCTATAAATAGGCATTGTTTTGCTATAAATAGTCATTTTAATATAAATAGGTATTGTTGGAAAGAATATCAAATAAGAGGTGGTTTCACGATCCTCAGAATCTACAATCACCCGATTAGAGACCTTGCTTCCTTTTATCGTCATGCCCAGGACTTAAGTTAGTGCTTCAAAAATTTAAATGCATAGTCACTGGCTATATCCTGTCTTCTTAATTCCTGTTCTAATATTCTCGTTTCTTAAGAATGTGTTTTTTTTTTTTCGTGTTCTTTCAGCTGCGTCTTAATGTCTTTATTGCCTTTATTAAGGTAAAATGATTTATATATATATATATATATATATTAGAAACGGGGAGCACCTCTAAAAGGAGCCTGCACAAAAGCTACTTACTAGCAAAAAAAGTGCTCAAAGTCATAAGAAACGCATGAAACTAGCAGGCATGTGTGTGTGCGTGTGTGTGTGTGTGTGTGTGTGTGTGTGTGTGTGTATGCGTGTGTGGGCGTGTGTGTGGTGTATGTGTGGGTGTATTCTGTATTTTTCTTTATAATTTTTAGTTGATGTCGAACGTTATTAATATATTTTCCAGCTTTTTTGTATCGAATTAATGGTAAAGCTCATTATCATCCTGACTCGAAAGCAAGAGATTCATATCGCATTTTCTGAAGTGAATCCAAGACAAATTCTCATCCTGTCTTTCATAATGGGTTGAATGTAAAAGATTTATGGTTTTAGGTCAGCCCATGTGCTTTTCGTGTCGACAATATATGTTTAAAATAGGATATAGAATACTGAGAATTTTTTTAAATTTAAAAAAAAATGAGAGTCGAGAAATAAAAACGCGAAAAATGTTTCCCATATATGTAGGCGTTTCATTCAGGATTTCACCTGCTCGTTTCTGGTGGATAGGTAGGATGATACTTGGAACAACTTCTGCAATGTCAGCTCTCCTCCCTATCGACTTCTTGCCTATGAATGTAGTCTTCGACACAGTGCGGAGCAAAATTCCTCCGATCCCAGAACTCGGATACACCCTATTTCCTGTTTTGTTGCCACTTGATCTCTAAAAACCTCCAACTACTCCCTTAATTTCCGTTCCCCTTCGCTCAAACTGGATGCCGTTTAGAAAACTGAGCTTCAAAAGGAACCATCTGCGGCTCCATTTAACGGAAACACGTGAGATCTAAACAGAATCCATTTTTTCTTTTCAGTCTGGGTTTCCAGAGCATCATATCAATATATACAAAATCCAGAAGGAACTCTGAAACTTTTTTCAGATTTTGAAACTGGGTATAGTCATGAACTTTTTAGCATTTCTTGTATATTAATTCATTTTTCTATTTAAACCGACAAGAGTACCCTTTACATTCTTTTCTTTTCTTATTTCCGTGAATCAGATTGTATACTTGAGTTCAGTGAGTGTAGATATCACTTAGAATTTGTCTTAAAGCCGACATACGAATTTTATCTTTACCCTAGTGGGTAAAAGCATTCGTAGATTATGCTGATGTCATGTAAGGAAAGGCTGAGGGCTAACGTATTTGTAGTAAAGCGTTTGCATGTTTTTTGGGGTTTTTTGTTTATTAAATTATAAATTTATCACTTCCAATGGATGTGTGCAATGTGGATAAACATGGCTGTTTCGTCACTTTTATAATTTTGGTCTTAGGGAGACCATATATGTGAGGTAGCTTGGTGGAACGCTGCGACAACTGCCTATACGTCTTAGGTGCGAAGTGATCCTTGTTCTTGATTAGTATGTGACAGTTTGCCTTCCGTTTTCAGGAAGGTAGGATCCTTTTTTTTTACTTTGCTGCAGCTACCATTACTAATGAGGTCTTCCAGCTTTCTTGTATAATTTGATTTGTCCATCACTACAGTTGCATTACCTTTGTCAGCCGGTAGTATGATGATATTTTCGTTCCTCTGTAGGGATCCGATCGCCAGCCTCTCCAGCTTCGTGATGTTTGACTCGGGCGGCTTGGCCTTCTCTAAGGTCTGTCTCACCCTCCACCTTAGTTCATCCGCCTAAGCGGAAGGGACGTTTAAGGCCCCCTCCTTGATTCTGGTAATGATATCACCTGATGGTTGTGGCGAAGTTGAGACCCTTATTTAATACTGACTCCTTAGAGGCACTCAACAGATATTGGCTGATGTCGATTACTGCTTTCATTGGTGGGCGATGGACCTTGTGCGTCACCTTCTCATCTTTCAATCTGTTTAAGTTTTGTACTTGGCGAGTCTTGACTACATCGAATTCATGTCTGTGGGATTTTTCCAGGTCATTTTGGATCCTTCTTTGGTATTCTTCATTGCAATAAAGGGTTTAATTCGACATTCCAACCACCTGAAAATGGACGGAGCGTACAACGGCCGGAGCGTACAACAGCCGAAACGTTGTGATAAATATGGCAACAAAGATGAGGACAATAGTCCGAATAATGTAAATAGTATACGATTGTTACTGTATTTAAATTTTTGAAGATCAATCTTGATTGGAAAGCAAGAAGCCGGAAGAGAGTACCATGAGCGAGAAGCGCAAGAGAAGCAACTCTTAGCATAGAATTTACAATCACAATTAGCAATTTCTACTTTGAAATGTTGCGACCTAGCTGCCAATCGAGTACTGCGCTTAAATTTCCTGAAGTCGAGATAAAAAAGAGGGAAGCTATATTTATTTTGAATTATACAAAATGAATAATACAAAAATGTTTTTAGCACGAGGCCAAAAGGTGGGGAGGGGAAGGCTGGTTTTCAATCTGTCTTATCTTAAACTTTAGTTAGCTATGATTCCTGGCCCAAACATACCACAATATTTCTTACTGCAAAACATCACATTCTTACTTACCATTTTTACTACTGTCAGCAAAAAACCTCAAAGTCTGTATGTAGTCCTAATTAGTTCCCATATATATAATTTGTCTTGGGTGGGGGAATAAAAGTAACAACAAAAGAGGAAAGGTCAACGGAACAATTACCATGGAAACATTTATAGAAAAGGTAAAAGGCGGTGAGAAAGTAACTAAAGTCTAGATATCAGGTCAGGACCGATAACATTGCAGATTCTTTTGTCTACATAGCAGAAGCATCAGGGTAGGTGTGGTAATAATATTCAATGCAGGGACAAATGATAGATTTATAAAGTTGTAAGAGAGTTGTTTTCTTTATAATCGATATAAAGATATTATTTGCCATTGAACACCAACAGTCAGCCAACGGTCTTAAGAGACTAGAGCCAATTAAGGGTTTCGTGATAAAACATGCCTCATCCAAGTTGAGTCTTTTTCTTTCACCAGTTACTTTTCA